CAAAGCCTATCGCTAACCACTGTCACCTAATTGTATTGCTAACTACCATATGCAAAGCATTGTACTAGGCCCAAAACAGAAATAGGCTCTGCAAGGTTTCTCCATAAAAATAAGATGGATACCATGAAGACAAGCAATATATAGTAAAATGCCAAAATGATGGTAGGTAAAGATAATTCCATACTATTGGAATGAAATAACATAAATTATGAATGGGCATGGTGATGCACACCTGCAATCCCAGCAGCTCAGGAGGCTGAGGCAGGAGGACCGTGAGTTCAAAGCCAGCAACTTAGAAAGGCCTTAAAAAACTTAGCAAGACCTTGCCTCAAAATAAAAAACTATATTAAAAGGACTAGGGATGTGGCTCGGTGGTTAAATGCCTCTGGGTTCAATTCCAGGTACCAAAAAAAACAAAGAAAGAAAAAAAGAAAAGAAATGTAGTTGCAGGGGGTAGGGGGAGAGGATCTATGAAAATCAAAGGAAGATCAGTTAGAGGGAAAGAGCCAGAAAGTGGGAGGGAGGGAGGGAGGAAGTGCTGGGGAGTGATACTGGCAGAATTCTACTGTTATATTATGTGTATGTACAAATATGTAACAACAAATCCCATCATTATGTTAAAACTATAATGCACAAATTAAAAATGTGGAAAAAAAATTTTAAAAACAAGGGTTTAAATGAAATTTTAAAGAAGACATTAGATTTTGATGGTCAATATATAATATGGATAGATTTACAAAGTATAACATCACAGGCAAAATTTGGGAACACAGAGAGAGACTCAAATGGGAACCTTAAGCTGAATAGACCTGTATTGGGTGGGGAGTCAAAGAAGCCTAAAAAGTTAATAAAATAATAATAAACATACATTGAGGCCTTCCACCTATTCTACATGCATTGGTTGGTCAAATCCTCGCATGAGGTAAGTATCCCCAGTCCATAAGAAAAGAACTGAGGCACAGGAAGGTTAAGCGGAGCCAGGATTCAAATATTGGCTAATCTAACTCAGAACCTGGGCTCAGAGTCCTCACACTCTTCTGATTCAAGAGTAAGAAACCCTCAACAGGTAAGCTAAAGTATTTAGGCCTCAGTTCCAGATTAAAAATTGGGAGCTAGGTATCTGATAACCATCAATAATGACTGTGACCATGGTTTCTCACTACCCCAAATCCTCCCCTCCACCACTGCATTATCTTACAATTTTCCCAACAATGCTAGTTGATGATGACAAGTGTTCATTAACTCCCTTGACAACAGCACTGGTTCAGATAAGTTGCTTAGTCCAGCGTTTATTGAGAGACTCCTTTATATTGGTATTGCATCACCATAGTTTACCCTTTTAATCTTCAGGACTTAATTTCACCTGTATTCACCTACTACCTCTACTAGAAATACAGCTCATAATAATAAACAGAGTGCAATGTATTTATTTTCAAATATTCCCTGAACATATACGGCCTTTCTATAAGGAGAGCCACTCTTGTCAAATAACACATTCATTCCTTAAAAGCTCAGTTCTCCATCTTAGGTTTAGGTCTTTCAAAATCAGTGGGGCTCTTTAGTTAGAGATGTTCAGGACATGACATCTGGACCCTCCTAGGAGGTCTGGGGCACAGTCTTCCTTTGAATACCCACAGTAGCCAACAGACTTCTTCTCCCACTGTGGAAAACTGCAGACAACTGTCTCTTAATGATTTACTACTGCTCATTCCCCAGCCCACAAATCAAAGAATTGGGTTGAGTGAGAAATAAGAAAGAACAGTGGCCAGTGGCTACGAGAGGAGGAGGGGGTGCTTAAGTTTATTTTTTTAAGTCAATTAATGATGAGCGGCATGGAAGGAAAGAAAGACACAACATGGCTGTGGAAGACTATTTTTCCAGATAAATGGCCAGATATCAGATTCTGTAATAAGTACTTCCACCTATCAAAACACACACACATACACACACACACACACACACACACACACACACACACACACACAAAGTTTGAGATAGAGAGGAAGATACAGATCTTAAAAACACAAGGTAGTATTCAGTAACCCTTATGGATATTATAAAATGCTGGAATTTTGAAGAACCCTTAGAAAACAACGAATCCAGATATTGCAAGCCCAGGGTCCATGAACTATACATTGCAATCAGAGGTGTTTTGTTGAGATTTTTTTTTTTTAGACTGAATCAGCATTTTAAAGTAGGGAAGATCCACCTAAAAATACAGACTGAAGTCTCTTAGAAACTGGAAGGCTCAGCAGCAAGGAGGTCCCTTTTCCAGATGGCAGCAGTGAATTAGCACTCAGTAGTAGATGCTCCTTTAGAAAAGGCTCAACCTGCCAGCTTGCCACAGCCTCCTCCACTCCCTCTTGTACCAGAATACAAAGACTGGCCATCAAAAATTAAAAACAGTGGAGAAGATGGCCTTATACCCATCTTGCTTCACTTATCGTAGCTGCAAACGCATCCCTTTGATTTTATAAGCTCTGCTCTAGACCAACCCCATCATTTAGGGAGAAGCAACTCAGCCAGAAGAGTAAAGTGACTTATAAACTTCTTCCATTAAAAGTTAAATTTGGGGCTGAGGTTGTAGCTCAGTGATAGAGCACGTGCCTAGCGTGTGTGAGGCACTGGGTTCGATCCTCAGCACCACATAAAAATAAATAAATTAAAAATTAATGGTCCATCAGCAATTAAAAGAAATTTTTATTAAAGTTAAATTTTCATACAGGAGAGATTCTAGCCTAATGACAACTGAAGAATATGCACAACTAAATTTAGGCCGTGTGGCTATGCAATGCCAAAATCTGTGACGAAAAATTAAAATCTCATTCACTTTATATTGTTTCCCACCAAAAACATAAATAAATAAGAAAAGAACAAGCAAAATTATTCTCAAGTTTTCAAAATAAATTTACCACCAAGTTTGGCATTGAATAGGTAGTTTAATGTATCCAAATTCTAGATATGACTTACATTTATATGAAGGGCATAATTTATTGAGAAGTCATATAAAATGTTTATCATAGATGTACAAATACTTTCTAAAAATAAGACTGGATAAAAATATAGAACAACAGGGGGGCCAAAGGTATTTCTCTTCAGAAAATTTAACTGATAAATCAGAAGGGAAGTGATTAAGATTTAATGTGTGAGTGCATGTGACTTAGGTACACAATGGAAAACATTATCCTTATTAACTCTCACAGCAGCCCAAGAAGGGTGGTATTATTACCCCCATGTCACAAGTAAAGATACCAAAGAGGGCAGCAGTATTATTATTACTATTATTATTATTATTATTCTCACTTCACAAGAAGTATTCAATAACTTAAGATGATCTAAACTATTTAGTTAGGGATCACATCAGATCCAAATACTGATGTGCACATTTGAAATGTTCATGAGAGCTGGAAACACAGCTTGCCATGCTCAGAGCCTAGCACACAGGAAGAACTTCATTGTTATTTATTGTGTAAAACTGCCCATCACCAAAGCCCTCCAACTGCTACCTGCAAGAACTTTCATAAATGTCATCAATCTTAACATGTAAACAACCCTAACATGCAAAATTAATTACTCCTTAGGCAAGTTTCTTAAACATGGTTAAGGAAGTTTTAGTCCTTCCTGTTATATAGTTATTGACTCCCAGGCAGGTGTTGACTAAGAGAATAAAATCTCTTTTCTAAACAAATTTCTCCTTGAAAATTAGTATTCAAGAATTTGGCTAAATATACAAGCCAAAAGCATGTTTGCTATTGAATAAGAATAATAACTAAAATCAAAATAAAAAGTAATTCAAGAATGAGTACTTTTGAAGAGTCAGGAATTTGATTAAAAATTCACTTGCTTTCTTTTTCTGTAATGAAACAGTTCTTTAACCACAAAACAGCTTTTATAATAATGCAGAAGAACATGGTTCCAAGTAAAACACTCCCTGTTTTAATCATGGCTATTATTTTTGAAAATGAAAATGGCTGAGGTCATTGTAATCTATTTCAGGGTTTGCATGGGTTGGTGGTATTTTTTTTTTCTTGGCTTTGAGCTCTCCACGTTACCAGCTAAATGTTATGGGTTTTACTATGTGCCCTTTCAAATCCCATTCTTTTTAATAATGTACTTTACACACATAAATTAGAGTAAATTCCACTTTCTTTCCTTGTTAGGACTCCAGATGGAGTCCACACTTGCAAGAGGACTGAAACTTGCCTTTTTAAAAAATTAAGTTTGTACTTAGAACAACTATGTTCCCATCTGCATAAAAACACTTATGGACGTTCAATGCTGAAAAATTAGTAAAATGGGAGAATGCATGTGGTTCTTTTGACCAAATTGAAATATGAGAAAAAGTATCTGTGTATCTACTCCTTCCAACTTACAGAGACAGGAAAAAAAAATGTCCAGAAACAAAATCTCATATAAGAGCTCTAGACTTGCCTTCAGAACCTACAAAGAATGAGGTTCCACATACACATACCCATTTAAGATACATCAGCAAAGTCTCCTGAAGACAAATTACTAAATATTTAAAGGCACTAAAGTTACATAGTCAAACCCCCTTCTGATGAGATTAATATTTCACTGACTTTCTGAACTTAGCTTTTTTTTTTTTTAATTCACCATCAAGTCACACAGAATAGCTTAAGATCCCTCTAAATAGCTCCTACACACCTCCAAGTGAGACAATGGCTTCCCAATAAATATATATTGCGGAGATCTGGCTATTAAAATGCCTTAAGCTTTGTTTGTTTGTTTGTTTTAAAAATCAACTTGCAGGACCAATGTAATAAGCTTTTATGAAAGAGGTAAAATAATTTTAAACACAGACACACAATGAGTTTATTTATTTAGAAACTTGTTAAATAGAGTCTGGGAATTCAAATATTCAATGTTGACATTGTACAGAACTGGCCAGAAGCCAGAACCTAGTCTCCAGAGGGACCCACTGGACAAGGAATTCAGGCCTTTCTCTCCTCCCACTTGAGCTAAATAGGTAGAAGCCATTAGTTATACCCACAGCAATATCTGAACTGCACTCAAATAAGCTGCCCCAGCCCCGGCACTTCAAAGGAGGGTAAGTGTGTTTAGCTTTTTAGTGCTGAACTAGAGCAATATGTCACACTTTTGAAAGCATTTTGTAAACAGTTTCTTCCCTGTGTAGAAACATCTCTGAAGTTTCTTGTATAGCACATAGAAAAGGTAATTAACAAGATTTTTTTTTTTTCATTTACTGGAGGGAGAGAGGAAAATACCAGTCTTGTGCAAAATAGAGATCTGGAAGGAAAAGGGCTCTGCTTCTCTCTTCTAGGCCCCCTTTCTTGTCTTCTGTTAGATGTGTTTGTATCCTTTTTATCCTCTTCCTCACACTTGTTCTCAATACACAGCCAATTTCCTTGAGAATTCCCTAGTAAACTCAGAAGGCCAGAAGAGTGGAAAGGGGGAAATCTAATTTTAGAAGGAGGATCGTGGCTAATGGAGTGGGGAAGTAGGGAGGGAACTAATGATTCATACTGGGCCGCCCAGGAGAAAAGGAAAGCAGACCCCACAGACTATTTTAGAAAATGCCTAGCCAGCAGCTTCCAGCGGAGGAAGGGTTAACCACACCACTCCAGAAAAATGTGCCTGGCATCCTTAGAGTATGGCTATCCCCTCCTGCCCCATCTCCTCCCCCGAAGTCCCTGTCTCCCCTACCCTGTGAGGCTGGAAAGAGGCCAGCTCTGCCAGAGGTGGTGAATGCCTACCCTCTACACAAGAGTCTCCTTGAACCCAGGAAATGTGAGTGTGTGCTTGTGATGGTGTGCCTGTTTTATACTGTCAATGCACACTGGACTCTGAGGAAGCAGTTGTCCCAAGCATACACCACCCATAAGGTTGGACTGGGAAGAAGGGTGCTAGCCAAAGCTTGAAGCCAAAACTAAGAAGCCTGAGAAGCCAGGGGTGGGGGGCAGATATGACCTGAGTGCATCACTGGAACCACCCCAGCCCCATCCCTTGCCCCACGGAGGGCCACTTTCTCAGCACCAGGAGGGTGTGAGATAAGGTGGGGAATGGTAGATAGTTCTAGGGAACTGAGCTTTGCCAAGCACTTTGTATCTTTGGAAGAGGGTAGTCAGGAACACAACACAAGTCTGTCCACCTCCGGGCCGTCCTGTAGTGGAGGCAAAGTGGAGGGAGATGCCAGAAGAGAAGGGCTGAGGTAGGTAACCAGTCTGCCCTCTGGCCCTCCTTGCCTGCCCCCAGGAAGGACAGAGTTAGGCATCCCCAACTGTGGCCTTCCTGATCCAGGTCACAAATGCAGGCTCTGACAACCTGGACCCATCTTCCAAATATAAAATACGCTCCCTAACACTCTGATTATTAAAGAGAAACTGCTTACAGTTTCTCTTTAATGAGAAACTCATTACCTTCAACTAGAATGAAAGAAAGACAAAGAGAGAAAGACCAAAATTTTCAAGGAATGATGTGATAATTTCTATTTGGTAATCCTCTACAAGTCGAATGTCTATCCACAGAGGAGACCAGGCCCTGGGGTGCAGGGAGACGCTTCGGAGAAGAAAACCTGAGATCTGAGAATGAGGCTACAAGGCAAAAAAAAAAAAAAAAACTCACAAGCACAGCATCGCAGCCAAGACCTGAAACTCCTCAGCTCCTACGAATGAAAACCTGGGGAAAGACGCCTGCTTCCCAGTCTTCCTGGCTCTGCAACTACTGAACGGTCCCCTCCCACAGTGTTGGGACTGTGGGGAGAATGAAAAGTGTAATTAACCTTCCCCTAAACACAGATTTGGGGGTAAGGGAGTAGGGGTGCGAAAGCCGTCTAAAAGCTCTAGGAAGACGGTGCTCAAGAGTGCCAAATGTAGTAAAGAAGCCCCAAGCCCGGGTAATGGTCAAGTAATGGCAAATAAACTGCTTTCCTAGAAGGGGCCTCAGCCTCCATCCAGAGCACACTTCTCCTCAAAAGCAGTCTGAAACAAACAAATAAACGTGCATTTTATAATAAAGCTTTGTTTTGATCTGGGTTTCTTAAGGATGAAGGAAAGCCCAAGTAAGGTGCACACCACACACAGACTGAATACCTCAATGTGGGCTCCTGTTTCCTTTTTATCTTAGGTCCTGGGCTGCTACGGTGAGGAGTTTAAGGACAGGAGGGAAAGTCGGCATGTACCTTTCCTACTTCGGAATCTGTTTTTAAAGAGAGATTCAAGTGTAGAAGTAACAAGTGCCCTCCTCCACACCGTCTTGCTAATCGCATCGCTGCCTTCTGCGTCTTTACGAGACTTCTGGGGGGCTGGTAGCTAAGGGGGTTACTGTATGCAACTCATTGCTGTGATTGAAATCCTGCCCGCTGTCACTTCGGGGAAGTGGGGTGGGGGTTCCTTCGTGTTTCAGACTGTAGATATGCTGGGCAGACCCAAATTCACTTCCTTCCCATTCATCAGGAGAGTTGCAACTGGCGTTTCTGGCATGGCCCAGGTGCTATTCTAGCTGCCCATGAAAACGGCTGGGAAGTCTCCCAGGACTGCCAGGCTTGACTTGGCTTTTAATTTTCTTTTCTTAAAGATGGAAATAAAAGTCAGGCGCTTTAGACAGTACAGGCGGCAATCTTCTTGCTTTTTCATTCTTTATTTTTTAATTGAAATTTAAATTCTCTCACGATTTTTAACGAATTTATCAACTTCAACTATTGTGCACAAAATAAGACACAGGAATTGCAAACTGGGTTATGTATTCAAATCTTGGTGTAGCTTCAGGGGCTATTTTCAGGGTATGTGGTCTCTGGTCGACCTCCATGGGCTCCTCCTGTACCACGGCCAAGATCAAGCAAGAACTTACGACCACCAAAGAAATTTACAAAAGACAAAAAGAATAACAAGCAATCAATCGAGAGAACAAGTATTTCTACTCGACCTGTTTCCACTGAAATGTTTACTTTTGCCACGGTAAAGGTAGTTTTGTTTTTTGGTTTTTTTAAAATATGCTGGTCACACTGCCTCTTCCTAACCCAAAAAGAGAAAGAAACCAGTACAGACAGGGAAGCTAAATTTTCGTTGGATGATTGCACTGCAGAGGTCACCAACTATCTCTGCCACACGCTATTCGTCAAAAGGAAATAGTGCTTTAAAATACAAAAATCCGTAGTTTAAATATGATTTCCTTTATTACTCAGATTGTAAATGAAAATTTGCACAAAGCAGGGCTTCTAAAGAAAGCGTCTGTGGCAGCAACAGCTGGATCTCTGCAAGTGGGAACCTGAGGCTCAGCAGGAAAAGTTTGTAAGAGTTCGGTTCTAGCTATCTGAAAGCTGCAACGGCATCATTACCGACACTGGAGACAAAATGAATGTGTCTCCCACCGGTTGAATGACAAGTATCCGATCAAAAACGAAGCTCAGATTCGGGGTGTTGAGTGGACTGTGCATGCGGGAATATTTTAAAACAGCAGTGTACAGCTTTCTTGAACAATTAAAACAGTTGAAAAGGTTGTATAAGAAAATCCAAAGTGTTTTGTGTTCTGCTTTCACTTCGGCGGATGCCTGGCAATGAGGCGCAGCGCAAAGCCTTAGGCTTTCATTTCACAACTTAGGCATGGTTGAAGCAGGCTCCCCGCCCCCTCCCAACAACAACAACACACGCGTGCGCGCGCGCGAACACACACACACACACACACACACACACACACACATACACTCCTTCCTAACCTTTAGTCAGAATTGAAGCCTTCGAGCCTCCAAGCATATGTACATTTATTCCCCCTCAGATGAGAATAAAGACATCAGACTCGGTTAAAAGCAAACAGGAAAAACAATTCCATTGGCACGCCTTGACACTACCGAAGCTAAGTGAAATGAACAATATTTAAAGAAGACACAGATGAACTGGTGACACAATGAGCTGTACATTTAGGTTGATCCCTGAGACCAAAGTGGGGTGGGGGGAAGAAATGTATTAGGGAGTGTGAGAGTGCTTGGGTGAGGACTGGACGAAGCACTGGAAAAGCGCCTGGGATGGATGACAGCATCTCGCCCACCGAACTCCCACCGCCGGCGAAACTGAGCGCCTATGTGTCACTGCCTTCCGCGCAGTGCTGCAGGGACGCGGCAGGCTGAAAGGCATGGAATACCTACCGTACTTGGTTCTAATGTGAATGGACGGGAGCGGGAGACTGGGGACTTCACTGAAGAAAAACATTCCACCCACCCCCATCTCTCATTTCTCTGGCCTACAAGCAAAATAATTAGAGTTCTGTTTCAGCAAGTGCCAAATGCGAGTGAACCGAGGGCGGCCTGTCCTCTCCCGAGGCAGCTCGAGACCCGCGTGCCTACACTGCGGAGAAACGCTCGAGGCTGCTCCGCGGCTCGGCGCTGCCGAGTCCCCTTAGACTCGGGGTAGAAGCCTTTGAACAACACAGCCCAGTCGCATACACTCCGGCTGAGATTCGGGTCGTATCCGACAGTGTCCGTTCGGCGGGCAATGCCGGGCGAGTCACCCAACAGCTTTGCAGAATGAGTGGGGGATGCGGATCTCGCCGCCCCCGCCCCAAACCCAATCGTCCTGGTCCCGCGTGACCAGGTTGCTCCACACCGGGCAGGCAGGGGGCGCCGGGGAGGATTACTGACCCGGGACCCGGGCTGCTCCCAGAAAGAGAGCAGGAGGCTCAGCCGCGCCCTCTCCGCGGCCCAACGTTCAGGCAGCCCGCCCCCTGGGGGTCACTCGGCGCCCCGCCAGCCCTGGGTTGGCGGGTCGGAGCGCGCCCTCTCGGCCTCCTTATCCTCCGCGGCTCTTGCCGCTGGCTGCGCGCCCTCCATTCACCGCTCTGCACGCGCTCGCGGAGCTTTTTCTCTCCCCACCTGCCTGTGGCTCTCAGGAGCCGATAGCTCCGCTTTGCCACTGCCCCCCACTCAGAGACTGCAGCACCCCCCTTTGTCTCCCCCACTCCCCTCCCCAGTCCTCCCGCCGCGCCGCACACGCCGGAGAGCATGACCAAGCGCACAGCGCCCACTACCGCAGCCGCGGCTCGGCGCAGCCCGCCCGCCCGCGCAACTTCAGCGGCCGTCTCGCAACTTTTCCCAACTCCACCACTGCCGCCCGCCGCTGCCGCCACTGTGGTTCCCTCCGAGCCTGCCACCCATTCCAAGCCCCTGAAACAAACCGAGTCTCGAAATGCTCCCTTCCCATGCCCGCCTTCCCCATCCCCCGCTCCCCCCTCCTCCCACACCCGGGACTAGCTGGTTGGCCAGAGGCAACTCTCCCCCGCCTGGGGGGAAGGGGAGGGGAGGGGGAGACTCTCTTCTCTCCGTTCCTCCCCCCCCCCCTCGCGCTCGCTCTCGCGCTCTCTCCTCCCTCCTACCCCCGTTTTTGCTGCCCCCACCCCACCCCCACCACGGGGTTGCCACAGCTAGTCGGTGTGCGGGGCTGAGGGCTGCCCGGGCTTCTCTGGCGCCCAAACCGGGAGCGAGAGCGGGCTACTGGGCGCGGAGACTGGAACCGGCAGGTTGCTGGGGCTGCATTACGCCCGCCCTCCACCCGGGGCCGGGCGCAAGAGGCAGCTCGCGCTCCCTCCCGGAGTGCTGGAGACAGATATGCAAGATGGCAGAGGAGGGGGGAAAAGCCAATAGAAAAGGGATATTGCACCTACTTGTGGCCAGTTTCCTTGCCCTGCCTTTGGATCTCATGCTGTGCCCAGTCCTGCAGCCGCTGGTGTGTGGTTGGGTTTTTTTTTTCTTGGATCTTTTCCTTCTTTTGGTCTCCCTCTCGCTCCCTCCCTCTCTCCTCTTCTCTCTCTCTCTCTCTCTCTCTCTCACACACACACACACACACACACACACACACACACTTCCACACACTCACTCTGTCTTTCCCTCTTTCACTCTCCCTCCCTCTCTCCCTTTCTCTCAATCCACACTCGCTATCTCTCTAGCATTGTCAGTTTGGGCACCTTCGCACATGCGCGCTAGACGCCCCTCCAACATCTCAGCGCCGCCAAAAAAAGTTTGGAGCGATTTATCACTTTGATTTGGAGATCTTGTCAGATGGCAATCGCTGAGGAGGCGGAGAAAGGAGCCACGGGGAGGGCGGCTGGGGGCGGGGAGCGAGCGCAGGGAGCTAGAGGGGAGCAGACACCTCGCCCAAAAAAAAAAAAAAAAAAAAAAAGGAATGAAAAGGCTTGAAAGGCTTGGACCGAGGATTGATTCCGTGGGGGCAGGAGATTGATTCTGTGTTGGAATCACCAAAAAGCCTATGTTAACTATTAGTACTGTTTTTCCCATAATAAGTTGCAGAAAATTTTATATACTGTCCATGGAAAAAGTAAGCAGCAGAGGGGGAAAAAAACTTCTAAATAAATCTTTTCTCTACTAAAGAACTATAAGAAGGACTGGACCATCGGCGAACGATCCAAGAGGAAGTAAGAATCATCCTGAACTTGAGAAATCTACTGCGGCTGCTACTGCTACCGAAGCTACTGCGGCTTCCGCTTTCAGAGTTGGAAGCAGAATAAATGTTTCTTTTTCAATTTTAGGTGTAATTCTAATGCTTGCTGCTATCCTACGAAGATTTCAGTAGTCTATTGCCATCAAGTAATAACGATCATCCTCGATTCCCAGGT